CCGGCGGCGCCGCCGCGCTGCCTCCGCCCGGACGCGGCCAGCCCGCCGCGCCGTGCCGCACAAAGAGCCCAGGCCGCGTCTGCCTTTAAAGGCGGCAGCCTGAGATTTAAGGTGTCCCCGCGTGCCGGCCTCGGCGCTCCGGCTGCCTCCTGGACGCGTGCTGCATGGAGAGAGCCCGGTCCCCGCGCGCCGGGCCCGGAGCCCAGCCCATTGTTTCTTTGCTGGGCTTAGGGGCTTGGGGGTAGGGAGGTAGGTATGGGGCTGCGGCTGCACCCTCTCCCGTCCCCGCTTACCGTGCTCCCCGAGCTGTGCGGCCCGCTTGGCGCTCTCGGTGGAAAAAAAAAAAAAAAAAAAAAAAAGGTGACCGAGACGGAAAGGGTTAACCGTTGTCTTTAAATATTCATATCATTGTTTTAAAGGTGTAAACATGCAGCTTTGGGGTTGGAGTTGAAGCTCTCTTATTATGCAAATTTACTCCCCCCCATTAATTACGATTTCCCCGAGCACATCTCCCCCCACCCCCCGTTTTCTCACACCCACCCTCCAAAACCTGTAAGTTTGCAAGGTTTGGATGTGAGTGTGATGTGTATCCCTCGTTCCATTTGGAATTTTAAAACTTCACAGTGCTTTTGGACTTAAGGTGTTTTAGACATTTTTCTTCTTAAAAATCAGGGAAGGTAGAAGTTTTATGTTTGAAAGATGGTTAGTCCCCCCAGTTCCCCGCCTCTTTTTTGGGGGGTGGGGGTTAGGCTTGGAGGTAGGAAAATAACTCGATGCCTCGTGAGTTGGATTTTTTTTTTTTTCTCCTGGTAGGAGTGAGGCGGCGTTAAATGCGAGGCGTTTTGTGAGGAAAGGACTGTTTTGTTCCAAACTCTAGCAAGTCAAAGTGCTATTGGACTTTTCCTAACTCTAAAATGGCTTCAGAATTCCCCTCTAGGTCATTTCCTTTGCTCTCCTGCCACCCTTCTCTTGGATGGGTTGTTTTCTTGGAGTATTTGAAGATTTACTCCTGTTCCGTTGTACGTTTCAAACTGAAATGATGGCTCACCCCAAAGATGTTTTTGTAAAGACAGTTTGGATTACCGCCCAAACTCAGGCTTTCTGAGATTTATTTTATTTATTTGTTTTGTGTGTGAGAGAGGGAGATTAATTTTAAATAAGTGATGTGGTTGCCAGGGGATAGGAAACTCTATAAATGGGAATCATGTTCTTCATCGTAAATTTTATAGGGGAACCTGACCCTGAAATTTGGGGTGTCTGTAATTCTATGCCCAGTAAAGTCTCAATCTGGAGGTTCATAAACCTTGGGAGTGCATGTAAGATTCTGGTTGCACCTCTGAGACTTCAGACTTAGAAGGGCTTGCTCTAGAAACTTCCAGTGGTACCAAGTACGTTAATGCTAGGGATTTCGTACAGTGTGATTTTTTTTCATTTTAGTTCTGCAACGAAGCGGTAACGACCAGGAGCAAGCATATTTTCTCAATGATGTGTGGGTACTGGTTCGTTGGGTGGGATGTTTGCTTTCTAGGAAAGAGCACTGCATTAAAACGTTAGAGAACTTTCCACCGCTCTCTTGGAGAAAACTAATCTTGGTGTGTTAAACAGCTGTTCCACTTTTCTTTCAAGTTCTGTTCTTTAGTGAGGCGTCCTTAGTTTTGGATCACGTTGTCCTTCTGGCTCAGAATGAAAACATGCTTTTTTCTAAAAGCGAATCGAGCATCACGAAGGATTTCATCAAATGCGTTTCCGTCAGCATCCTTTTCCTGCAGCGTGTCTAATGGGCATTTTATTTTTCTGTGGGGGACAGCAAAAGATGTTAAAAGGTTTTCTAGAAAAGTCACTTTAGCCAAGACTTCTTGATTTCTAAACCGTAGTGCTTCTAGGCTGACAGATGAAGTGACTAGCAGTTTTCTCATGATGTTGGCCGCTAGAAGAGCCTATGAGACTTACTGCTCAAGATGGCCTTGTGTCATGTGCCAGCTGGCCCGTAGTGCCTTCTTCAGGGGAGGCGTCCTGGCTGCCCGTCAGAGCCACAGTTAGAGCAACACAGACCTCAGACCTTCCCTGGAAGATGTCTGATGGTACAGTCAACTTCGTAAATGAGTTCTTTGGGCTTCTGCATCACTATAATGAACTGTTATGGCCTCAAATCGGCATATCCTTGGTCTGGATGATTTCAACTCTTTCCATGCTCGGCACCGTCTTGTATTCACTTGATTCTTAGCAAAATACTGGTGAGCATTCTTGTAATGGTGTCTTTGTGTTTTGGTGATGCCTAGGTGGATCTGTAAAGAAACCAGGAGGCTAGGAGCGGGAGGGGAGGAGCCCAGCTGTGAGGTGTGTGTGCCCAAGAACCATGTCTACGCGGGAGTCCTTTAACCCGGAAAGTTATGAATTGGACAAGAGCTTCCGGCTAACCAGATTCACTGAACTCAAGGGCACTGGCTGCAAAGTGCCCCAAGATGTCCTGCAGAAACTGCTGGAATCCTTACAAGAGAACCACTTCCAAGAAGATGAGCAATTTCTGGGAGCAGTGATGCCAAGACTTGGTACGTGAGCCCTTCTTCCCTTTATACTTCCCCAAGTACAGCGTCTTGGCTGCAGTTGTAGTCAGTGGGTCAAAAGCCAAATTTCTGTCCTCCCATGTTGCCTTCTTCTTCTTTTTTTTTTAAATCTAATTTCTGCAAGGATCCAAAGAGCAAAGCAGTGATAGCTATGACATTATTGTAGCTTATTTGGAGGAAATACTTGAAAAGCATCAAGGAATGTGCTGTAGTCATTTTTTTAAGCTATTAAGTATGCAATTGAGACAATTCTGTTACAGTGAAAGTGTTTCTTGCTAAATCGAATTTTGTAGTTAGCTGAGGGTTAAGCAGAAACTCCTTTATGCCTCTGTCCTAAAACTTTCCTTAAAATGCCCACGTCCTCTTCTCTGCCTTAGGAAAGAAAGGTGTGTCTGTGTGTCATCGTGCGGTGCTTTGGGGGCAGTGACTGGGTTGGGGAGGAATTGGGGTTCCTTTGCAATATGCACTGTTTGCCGAGCTCCTGTGGGGAGGAGGGAGAAGACTGAAGCCGTGCTTGACCCTGGGACGTGATCTGGCATCGAGAGCGTGGTTTTCCTTCTTTACTAAATTCCTTTTTTAGTGGTTTGCCTCTTCCCAAACACAGAGCTCAGAAAGAAATTCTGGGCTGTTGGAAATTGTTAGCTTTTATCATGTGGTGCGCTAAGGACGTGGCGAAACACCGTGATCGCTTTGCCTTTTGAGTGTTTGGCATGTATTCCAGGAGTTTGGGGGCTTGGTAGTCGTGGTATTCGACTTGATCAGCTTTCTTACAGAAGGCTTTCATTTCGTTTACTTTCACCCGTTGTCTTATTGTGTATTTCTGTCCTCCAACCCGAGATCCTCCTTTCTTCCCCAAAGAATATATCAAAGCCGAGCTGCTTTGGTGGGGAGACAGGAAAACTCACACCCCACACTCTAGGGGCCTCGGGGCTGGCTCCCAGGAAGGAGTTCAGTGCGAAAACCACTGTCTAGCTGGTGTGGAAGCCGGGAGAGTGAGCTGGATCGGCTGTCGACATACTTGTCAGGCAACAAGAATATACCGAGAAAGCTGTCAGATAATGTGGTCGAGAGAAGGACGCTGCCAAATGGGCAAAAGGAGACGCAATAAAAACCTTACGTGTAAAGTAGTAATGCCTCTTTCTGACTTCCCTGTGGACCTCGCTGAGCATGCCGTGCGCGGTGAAGCATTTTGAAAATGGGTCACATCATTCGCTCCTTCCCTCAGCCCCGTGATGCCGGGGAGGGTCGAGTAAGTCATTCCGTGTCACTCGGTGAGGGTCAGGACCTGGAGTCCTCGTCCTCTGATTCCTCCGCCCACCGTACTGTTTGCCCTCGGGTCTCTGAGACCGGGGTGTTTGAAGTGAGGAGAGGGGCTGCACCAGCTGCAACCTAGCAGTGGCATCGGGGACAGATGTCAGCAGCAAGGGGAGAGGTAGAAAAATCTGTTACCAGAACACGGTAGCAAAGGAGTCTAGTCACACAGGGCTCTTGAGAAGTCATTGGAAGCCGTGACCCTTTCCCAGAAAAATGCACACCCACAAAATGTAGTGTTCACGGTGTTCTCTAGGGGTACACGGACCCCAGGTTGCAAACAAAGGGACGCTGAAGAAAACATAGTGTTAGAACCTTGTACAGAAGTGGTATATCCAGATAGCAACAACTTTGCTTTGGAATTGGATGTAGATTCGTATCCTGACAACAGTCACTTACTTGTCACTAATGGTAATCTGTGCACTGTCTTACCCTTCTGAGTGACAGTTTCCCAGTCTGTAAGATGAACTGTTTGTAATTGTTGGAAGTACCAGAAATTATTTGTGTGTGTATATGTACCGTGTGTATCTGTTTCTAAATTTTTGTTAATGTTTTGTTTATTTTTGAGAAGGAGAGAGAGAGAGCACGAGCAAGAGTGAGGGAGAGGGAGACACAGAATCCGAAGCAGGCTCCAGGCTCCGATCTGTCAGCACAGAGCCTGATGTGGGGCTCAAACTCACAGACTGTGAGATCATGCCTGAGCCGAAGTTGGTAGCTTATCCAACTGAGCCACCCAGGCACCCCTATCTGTTTCCAAGCTAGAGTGTCCTACCTCCCGGGTTCTAAGATGTAACAGTTGTTAAATGTACACATGTTTATTTAGATGTATGCTAACTAAAGAAATGTTAAAATCAGTGCTTCTTGCCTGGTACTTACGAGCTATCGAGTATTGATCACCATCACTGGTGGTGATGGTGTGATCATTGGGTTATTTTTTCTTGATGGCTTCAGTCTTGCTGAGAGCTTAGAATTCTCCAGCATCCACTGACAATTAAATCTGCACCACTCATTCTGGTATTTGAGGCTTCCTCCACTCTGTGGCAATTTCCTCTGTTACCGCTTGCCCTCTCCCTGGACTGTCCCTCTCTCCCCCAATCACCACGGACCGGACTGGTGCTGTCCAAAAGAAATGGGATGTGAGCCACATGTATAATTTCAAATTTCTGAATCTTTAAAACAGAGAGCGTCAGAAGAAATTAATTCTAACATATTTGATTTAACCTAATGCATTGTATATAAAAAACATCATGTAAATATAGTTGATCTGAAACGTTACTAATGAAATGTTGGCTTTTTGGTACACAGGCTCAAGAGTCACCACTCCGAATGCTCTGATGGAGCATATAAGTAGAAATTAAGTTCTTCACGATTCTAATTTATTTTATTTTTTAATGTTTATATACTTTTGAGAGTGAGAAAGACAGAGCGTGAGCAGGGGAGGAGCAGAGAGAGAGAGGGAGAGACAGAATCCGAAGCAGGCTCCAGGCTCTTAGCTGTCAGCACGGGAGCAGGACACGGGCTCGAACACACAAACCACCAGACCATGACCTGAGCCAGAGTCAGATGATGCTCAACCGACTGAGCCACCCAGGCGTCCCTCACATTTATTTAATTCAAATTTAGGATTAACCAGATTAGAAACATTGAAAGCTAACATTCAGCAACTGCATTCAGTCTATTTCAGGAGTCCTGTAGTTTACATGAAAACCCCGAAGAAAACAGCGTTTCACTCTTTTCTAAAGCAAATAGTAACATTCTCAGAATAACCTGTTGTTGGCATTACCAATGTAGGGAGACTCAATATGAGTTAAATTGTGGTTCTTCACCTTGGCACTTACCTGCTCAACAGCCGCCCTCGGGTGAAATTGCCGGGGATGAATTTCCGTGCGTTTCCCTGCTGGGTCTGACCTCCCGCTGGGGATCACTCACTACCTGGGCAGCCTGCTCCATTGTCACAGATCTGTGAGACTTGCCATCCAGACACTGCTTTGCAGAAAATCAGCCCGCCTTCGATGAGCCTGTGACTTTTTATTAAACCTGATTTTGTTTTTGCATTCGTAATAAGGGGTCAAGGCCAGGGGAAGTAAGGTGCCCTATGAGTCGGCCTCTGTTGGGTATTTTGCCGTTGTGGATCTGGGTTAGCTGTGCCTCAGCAGTGTTGCTCAAGCAAAACATGAAAGGTACTGGTGTGTTCACTTCAGCCTGATACAGACAGGACTTCTCCTTCCGTTTGGATTCTGATTTGGAATTCTGAATTGCAAGGGTGCCTGCTGTGCGCTTGTGTCCTTTGCTGTTTCGTCCTCTTTCTCTGCCTTCGGCCGTTCACCACAAAGTTGAAATAATCCCAAGAGGACTGGAGGGCATCCTTTGGAGAGACGCATAGGAAAGCACTGAGTATTCAGCTTACTTGGTGGGAAGGCCAGTCTGAATTTGAGAACACCTGCATTACAGGTGATTTTCAAAGAAAGGTAGCCTACGGCAGCCCAGTCTTCATCATTTCTAAACTGATTTGAGTAAAAGGGAATTATTTCTTATTAGATCATCAATTGTCCATGTTATCTTTCTAAACATTTAGATACAAATTTTTTTTTTTTTTTTTTGAGAGAGACCGGGAAAGAACCCCTAGAAACAATTCTTAATGAATTGAAATGTTTCCTACAGGCCTGTTTAGCAAAGTATTTTTCCCTGTTCATAATGTAAGTTAGTAAAGGTGACATTTACAAGTTTTCCACAAGAGGAATAACATGAAATGTTAAAGTTTCCTCTTAAAAAATGCTTCCGGGAACCTACGTAACAGATCACCTAGGTACCACAGAGTATGTACTTGCTTGACTGGAAGCAATGAATATGAATACCTGTTCCAGTGACAAGTTGACAGCAGTGGGCCTGATGTGGGGCTCAAACTCACGAACCACGAAATCATGACCTGAGCCAAAGTTGGATGCTCAACCGACCGAGCCACCCAGGTGCCCCATAACTTTTTTTTTTATGTGTGTAAAAGATTTTACAGATTTTCTGTTGGGGAAAATAGAATAATTGCCTGAAGATCGGTTCAGAAAGCACCTATAGATAAGACAACCCAAGTTGTACTTACACTTTCTCATCTTTAAGGAAATTCTCTGTGGTGCCAGTCACATGATACAGTAATATGAAGGGGAAATTTCCATTTGAAGCATCGTTAGAGTCTAAAAATTGTACCGTGTAGAAGTTGAGTCTTCATGACTAACGAATTTTATTCTCGCTTTCTATCTTAAGCTAGTTATGTTTCACGTTTATTTCAGTTAATGCTACTTGATAGGAAACATGCTGCTTTCTTGGCAGGGTGCAGTGTTCCTTAAGTGTCGTGCACACGACTGTTCGTCTTCACAACACCAGTGGTAGGAAATGAAGCGGCTTTTCCATTTGACTTTGGGGTGATGGTAACTTTCATCTTCGCAGGCATTGGAATGGATACTTGTGTCATTCCTTTGAGGCACGGCGGTCTTTCTTTGGTTCAGACCACGGATTACATTTATCCTATCGTCGATGACCCTTACATGATGGTGAGTTTGACCCTGGTGCGTTTTTACATCTGGGACTGCTTGTTGGTCGGGTTTGGGGCTGTGGCTGGGGATTTTGTTTTTGTCACACCCAACTTGTTCTCGTCCTGCCCTGCCCTGACTTCTGCACGTGGAGCCAGTGGATCTGTGCCCTGCTCACACTTGGTACCTTGCGGAAGGCAGTCACAGCAGACGCGGTGAGCCCTCTGCTGCTCTTGTACGTGATGCACGTCTGCACGAACACCTGTTGTCTCAGCATGTGTGTTGACTGACATGTTTGTGGTTTCCTTCTTTCTTTCTCTCTTTGACCGTTGTCAACTCCACACTCCTGTGTTTCAGGCTTAGAGGTGTTAACCATACTCTGTAGCGGGACTGATCCTAGATGTTTCCTTCCGGAAGTAAACAGCTTAGCATCTCACCACAGTTAAGCTTCTTGACCATTCATTCTGATTCTGGTCACCATCCACCTCGGTGTGTTAGCTGCCACTGTGTAGAATACATGTCCGAACTGCTGCGTTGAAGTTTCTAGATGCTGATCGTGGCCTGCCTAGATATATTTTCCATTTGTTCTGTGCACGGTTACGCCAGCAACCCCTTGGTCTAACCAACTTTAACCCCCTACCCTACCAGACAAGGAGCCGATGAAGCGACTGGGAACGTCCCATTGTTAGGAAATGGTCCTCCCTGTGTGCCGTGGGCGCTGGGATCAAGCCTCACACATAGGGACCTAGGCCATGAGACAGCTAAGTGCGGGGAGGAGGAAGACCACCTCTCAGGTGCCAGCGACACGCATACAATTTACTAGAAACCTGGTCTGGCCTCTGCATGTCTCTTCTCTTGAGCAGTAATCCTGAGCCTGACCTGCACCACACCCCAGGCGCCACCAGAGGCACAGGTGCTAGAACCGGAATCCATTCTTTATCCAGCATGTCTTAAAAGCTCGTGAGAGAGCCCAGGACAGAAGGGACAGAAAATTGCTCCAGCTCTACACCCCCAAGGTGCAAAACACCTGTGGCCCTGGCTAGTGCTGCTTCTAAGGTCACTGCTGATCGGCCAGGAAGTTGTAAGGAAACCTCAACAAGCCATGAACCAGCTGCTGGAAATAATCCTTGGGGGTTTGATTGTCCTTACATCAGAAGAAAAATTTGTTATTTTTCTCCTTCACTGTCTAGAAGTGACAACTTAGCATTTATGTTATTTTATTTTATTTTTAGTTTTATTTCTAAGTCATCTCTACACCCAACATGGGGATCAAACTCATAATTTTGAGATCAAGAGTTGCATGCTCTACTGACTGAGCCAGCCAGGCGCCCTGACGACTTCTCTTTAATGAATCTCCAGTGGTGATAAAAGAACAAAATCTTATCACATTTCTTTTGAATCATTTTGAAGTCCCTTATTAAATAATATAGCTCACTGGAAACATTTTTTATTTTCTTTAGAAAACAATCTGACTTCGAGCTTGGATGGTTTTTGTTCTGTTTTGTTTTTTGGGTTTTTTTTGTCTCTTCTATTTTTTGATTTCTCAACCAAGATGTTTTTCCTGTTTATCTTCTAGAGCCTTGAAAAGAAGCTACCAAAATTTCTCCCTCCCTGTATTATAAAAAACCATCTTCTCTGTAACCAGTAAAGTCAACATATTTTTAGCGTCTGTTTAGGATACATGGCCGTTTCCAAGATTGCTTTAGGACTGTTGTTTTCAAACTTTCTCCTTCTATAGTTCTCCTCGCAGAACCATCCGCTCCAGCCTCGCTCACCCCAGCGTGTGCCCCCAACCCCCATTCCCCATCTACGTAAATTGCAGATTTCTCCCAATATCTTAGAACGGGAAAGAACATGGAAATCACTGCTGCAGGAATGTCTGAGAAAGACTGAAGGAACGACCTAGTGGTTCTGTGACTGAATGCAGGACACAGAAAACGGGGACCGCATCCCCGGAAAGTCCCCGAGTTCTGGGACGTGCCCTGTAGGCACACACGGAAAGTCCCCTACTTGTCCTCGCTCATGCCTCCCCTCTCTTCCAGGGCAGGATAGCATGTGCCAATGTCCTCAGCGACCTCTACGCAATGGGGGTCACGGAATGTGACAATATGCTGATGCTCCTTGGAATCAGTAATAAGATGACGGACAGGGTAAGTAGTGTTGTTGTCTCAGGGGCGTCACTTGACCGGGTCGCCCTGCGTCCCTCGTCTGTAAAGCGAGGCGGCCAGGCAGTGCAGCTTTCCTCCTCTTGTCGGGCTCCCTGTTTAGTTTTTGGCAGCTGTCGGTGAATTAAAATAGAGAGTCTGGCCTATTCTTCTTTTCGTTTCCGCCACCTGCTTCCCGTTCTCTCTTCCAGGTAGACTGAAGCCAAGACAGTCATGTTTGTTTGATAAAGTCTAGGCCACAGTAATAGCACCTCCGTGCCAGGCGTGTGGACCGGGCCCGCCCTGCAGACCCCCGGCTTGTGGCACGGAGGCTGGCCGCCTTCCTCTGCTTGCTGCTTGGGTCGCTGATGTGGAGGGTGAAGAGACGGGTGTCGTGTGTGTTTATGGCTCACTCGGCAGTGTGTGTGGCCTTGCCGCCAGTGCCTGCTGGTTGACACAGAGAGGATTTCCATTTAGATCATTTTTGTTCCCCAAAAGAAGTCTTGCCCTGCCTATTTGTAGTAAAGCCCCCACAACATGCGCTTGGGTCATGACTTGAACAGGCTCTGGAGAAGGGCATGTGGATGCGTATTAAGCCAGCTCTAGAGTTCTTTTTTTTTTTTTTTTTTTTTTTTTTTAAATTAATTGAATTTTTTTTTTTTTTTTTTTTTTTAAGCTAGTCTTGGAATTCTTGGGAACCATGTAAGTTGCTGGCTCAGATTTAGGGCAGACCTGTATATCCAGTCCTATCCTAGTTTTTAATTCTCTGTTATCTGGGCTTCATTCACATTGTAACCTAGAACAACTTCTAACTTCTGATAAAATGGTTACAATGTCAACTGTTCTGTATTTCTTTCTGTTATTCCCTGCCCCGTCTGTAAGCTTCCAGGACTTCCTTCAGGGCTTTACAATCTTTTATTATGTAAAAAAATTTTTTTTAATGTTTTTATTTATTTTTGAGAGAGAGAGAGAGAGACAGACTGAGCGCAGCGGGGGAGGGGCAGAGAGAGAGGGAGACACAGAATCTGAACAGGCTCCACGCTCTGAGCTGTCAGCACAGAGCCCGACGCGGAGCTCACACTTGGGAACTACGAAATCATGACCTGAGCCGAAGTTGGGCACGTAACTGACTGAGCCACGCAGGTGCCCCTACAGTCTTTTGTTAAAACTACAAGGGTGGATTCTCTTTCCTGTGTTTTGAACTGAATTATGTGACTTTTCATTTGTGTTCTTTTAAACCGTAGGAAAGGGATAAAGTGATGCCCCTAATTATACAGGGTTTTAAAGACGCAGCCGAGGAGGCAGGGACGTCTGTGACGGGTGGCCAGACGGTGTTAAACCCCTGGATCGTTTTGGGAGGAGTGGCTACCACCGTCTGCCAGCCCAACGAGTTTATCATGTAAGTTGATTTCTGTTTCGTGTCTCCTGACTTGCTTCCCCCTTTTTCATTTTTTGGCAAAGATTTGTTGAGGTGTTCATTCACATCACATACAATCCACACATTTAGAATACACAAAGCAGTGATCTTCGGTACATTCACAGAGGTACGCATCCGTCACCAGAGTTGATCTAGGACGTTCCGTCACCCCAGCTGGAAACCCGCCCTCCTTCAATGTCCGTCACATTCCCCCTGCTCCCCGTCTGCCTTCTGTGACTTCACATAATATTAGCGTGATGGTTTTAGGGTTCATCATTTTGTAGCATGCATCAGTGCCTTATTCCTGTTTGTTAAAAATTCTGGATTTTTTATGGGGCGCCTGGGTGGCGCAGTCGGTTAAGCGTCCAACTTCAGCCAGGTCACGATCTCGCGGTCCGTGAGTTCGAGCCCCGCGTCGGGCTCTGGGCTGATGGCTCAGAGCCTGGACCCTGTTTCTGATTCTGTGTCTCCCTCTCTCTCTGCCCCTCCCCCGTTCATGCTCTGTCTCTCTCTGTCCCAAAAAAATAAATAAACATTAAAAAAAAAAAAAAAAAATTCTGGATTTTTTAAAATACGTATTTGTTTAAGTAATCTCTGCACCCGACCTGGGGCTCTAACTCGTGACCCCGAGATCAAGAGTCACTCACTCTTGTGACTGGGCCAGCCAGGCACCCCCTAGATTTTATTCATTACGGTACAATTTGTTTAACAAAATTTCATACCACGTAAAATTAAACTTTTTTAAAGTATGCACTTCATTGGTTTTTCACATTCACAAGGTTGTGCGTCCATCACTGCTGTCCAATAGCAGAACGTTTTGATCACCCCCAAAAGAAATCCTGTATCTATTAGTGGTCACTGTCAGTTCCCTCCCACCCCCCCGTCCTGGAAACCAGTAATGTGCTTTCTGTTTTGTGAATTTGCCCATGTTAGACATTGGTGTGTTCACAGTTGATGGATGTGTTAACGAATGATGTTGCTGTGAACTTTTGTGTGGACGTACATTCCCTGTCCCACGGGTATATACCTAAGAACTACTGGGTCCTGTGGTAACTGTGTATCGTGGGCAACCGCCACACGGCTTTCCCAACAGTGGCACCGTTTGACATCCAAAGCAGCAGCACGGGAGAACGTCTGTGCGTGTCCTCACCAGTCCTGGCTCTTGTCTGCGTGTGTGATGGCAGCCGTCCTAGCGGGTGGGAGGTGACACAGCCCTGAGTGAAATGGGCATTTCCTCGGTAGCTAATAATGCGAGCATCTTTTCCTGTGTTTTCTGGCCTTTTCTGGATCTTGGGAAAGATTCTCTACCCTTCTCTCTTTCTCTCTCTTTTAAAAAAATTTTTTTTCTTAACGTTTATTTATTTTTGAGACAGAGAGGGACAGAGCATGAACGGGGGAGGGTCAGAGAGAGAGGGAGACACAGAATCTGAAACAGGCTCCAGGCTCCGAGCTGTCAGCACAGAGCCCAACATGGGGCTCCAACTCACGAACCGCGAGATCATGACCTGGGCCAAAGTCGGACACTTAACCGACTGAACCACCCAGGCACCCCTCTTTCTCTCTCTTTTGGAAAGATTCTCTCTTGATACAAGTTGTTAACTTTTCACGTTTGACATCTTATTAAGAAAAGCCACCATGTCCCATTTTCTGAAGGATTCGAAACTCCATTCGTTTACCCTTTTTTATGAGTAAACACTATGAGGCACCGTGTCCGCACGGTTCAGAATTCAAAAGATCCAGAAAGGTCTACAATGCAGAGTCCCTCCCCCATTCCTTGTCACCAGTTTCCCTTCCTGGACTGGGCAACCACTTTTTCCAATTTTTAACCAATTTACTGTGGACATTTAGATTATTTTCAATTATTTTGACATTATAAATAGTACTTCGGTGCGTACCCTTACTCACTGATCATTTTGCGTGAGTGTGGCTCTCGGTAAGAAATATTTCATAGTAGAATTGCTGGGTCCAGTGTGTGTGCGGAGTATCTGCACTGGGTGTCTCCAGGCTGCCCCCCTTCAGAGAGGCTCTGGCAGCAGCGAATGGGAAGACCCCGTGTTGGTAACAGACCTCTTGTTCTTTGCCAGTCAGTTTGGTGGCCTAAACCTTACTTCGTGAGTAAAGTTGAGCGTGTTTTTCACATATTCGTGTCTTTTGCCCGGTTTTTGATTGTTTGGAGCTCCTTTTAGACACATTATCTGACAGCTTTCGTGCGAAGGGTCTTGCCTTTTACTTACATCAGAGTTTTGTTTTCCTCTCTTTTATGTGGGCGGTTCTCAAACTTGCCACATAGAGAGGACAGAAGACCCTGAAAGTCTATCTGCCTCACACATTTCAGCTTTTTGGTAGAAAAAGCACTTAGCAATTGCAACAATTAGAAAGGAAAAATAATAAAACAAGCTTCGGTGGGTATTTTTTGGTCAACAGTATGTACGTTTAGCTTGTAAAATAGGAATGAGCGTATACACTTGATTATATTTCATAAGATAGTGCCCGTAAACTTAAAAATAACCCGTCAGTTTTATTGCATGTAACTTGTTGATAGTAATTTTTATGGGTTACACATAACCTGTGATGTGCAAGACCGTATAAGCATTAAGGTGTGGTTGAGTCAGAGCTGAAGACTTTTATGTCTTAAGGTCTGGTTTTTGGAAAATGAGTTTCTTGTAAACTGTTAATAGGGTTAACATTTTTCAAACCTAACAGCGGATAGAGACATAGGATGAGTCGGGGAGTTATTTGTTGACTTGAAGTCTGTGCCCCGGACGTTGTAATTGACGTGGGTGAGGGAGTGCGTCACCTGCCATCGGAGGATAGAGCAGCTGGGTGACCAGGAGGACACAGGTGCCTGCTGTAGTGATGATGCAGCATAATAGGAGTGTGGCTTGGGGGTCGGTCCTCGTGTTGTCGGTGTTTGCCTTCCCTCTTTGAGAGGGAACCGCCAGGGACGCTGGGGTGGCTCAGTTAGTTATGCGCCAGACTCTTGATTTCAGCTCAGGTCATGATCTCACGGTTTGTGAGTTTAAGCCCTGCATCGGGTTCCATGCTGACAGCACAGAGCCTGCTGGGGTCTCTCTCTCCGGCCCTCCCCCGATCTCTCACGTGTGTGTGTGTGTGTGTGTGTGTGTGTGTGTGTGTGTGTGTGTATGCTCTCACTCTCTAGATAAACTTAGAAGTTTATACATTTAAAAAAAAACAAAAACAGACCAGGAACAACCAAGGATTCTGTCTGGGCCCGGGTAGGAAACTTACTGTTGAACAGTCTGAGTTTGAGAACTTTGCTGAAACCGCCTAAACGTTAGACTGGCAGATTTGAGCCACATCCCACTGCGTCTCTACCTCGTAAGTGCTTGTGAAAAACAGCCCTGGTGTCAGAAGTCCGGTTGCCCCAGAACCACGGTGGGTCTGTACTGAGAATCGCACACAAGCGGGGCTGAAGGTTAAGTGATTTGCTTCTTCAGACACTTCTCGGGGGCGGGGGGGACCTGTGGGTGATTGCACGCTCCTCAGTTCTGCCATTGCTTCTGGTCCAGCGGCAGCCTCAGCGCTAAGTTGGAAGGTTCTACTCCGCTGATGGTGTTTGGCTTAAATTTAAGTAAGCACAGATAGTTTTTACCAGCTTCTTCTTGCTCCTGTTCTGCTGATAGTGCGTCTGTCTCTTCTGTGCCCCTGACTGGAACGCGCCTTGTTCTCTTCTCCAGGCCAGATAACGCAGTACCGGGGGACGTGCTTGTGCTGACGAAGCCCCTGGGGACGCAGGTGGCCGTGGCCGTGCACCAGTGGCTGGATATCGTGAGTGAACCGCTGCTTGCCACCGTGGGCGGGGGGCGGGGTAGCAGCACATGTTTGGGGCCGTGGTAGTTTTTGTTGGGGCGACTGGTTTGGAGACCAGGGCGCTCACCTCGCACATCCGATCGGTTGCGCATCTCCCTGGTCTGGCACCGGAGTTCGCTTCTCGAGAAGGTGTGTCTGGTCCAGAGCGAGCACCACGTCTCGTCCGGAAGTAAGCCCGTCCCCTTGCACATGTTTGCACACATCGCAGATCTGCCACACGTCTTCATTCTGTCTTCTCGAAATAGTCGCACTGCCGGGAAGTGTTTTATCAGCCACATCCTTACAGAAATTCTAGGAACTGTCCGTCGTCCTATGTTAAAGACAGAGTTACGCGTATTAAATGCTTTATCTTTTGTGTCTTAAGCATCACTAACAAAAGGAGAGTGTACAGAAAGTGTAGTGTTTGGGGTAGAACTACGGGCACAGTTACTGACAAATTATTTTAGTCTTGAGGTTTCTGGTTGTTTCATTTATTTTATATAAATGAGTTATATTTAGTTATAACTAAATATAGTTATAATGAGTTATAATTATAATGAGTCATAATTAGTAACTCATAACATTGATAAATATTTATCTCATGGAGGAAGCATCTAGAATATGAAGTTATTTATTCCGAGTCACTTTTCCGCTGAGCTATAGTCATACTTCATTTAGGATTTTCTCCTTGCCCTAACAATTCAAAAATGAATCCAGTTGTGGCATAGTCTCACATAACTTGATGCTTTTCGTTTCTGCAACTGTCATCTGAACTACCATTCCTGAGAAACAGTTGAAAAGGAGTAATAATTTTATGTTATTTATCAGCCAGGTATATCTTGCTCAATACAGCAGAGTACAGAAAATCTCTAAGCCACATTCTTTAGTTATTTTTCCCTTCTGTCCTGTGATGAGGGGAGGTTTCCCATCAGGTATGATCACCTGTACATCGGATTGGAAAGCCATCACAGGCCAGCAATCCACAGTGACTTTCCATAGGACCACCCAGGTCTGAGTAATTCAACAAGGTTACTGGTAGTAGGTGAGGCAAAGGAGCCTGAAAGATGAAGGGTTTGGGAGCCTGCTCCCTACCCCCAATCTGACACCACCTGTCCTTTTTTTAATGTGCAAAATTGAAAAAAGCAAGATGTGAAGGTCATGTAGCAGCCTAATACCCTTTCACAAAGGTCAGAAGCAACCCAAGGGTATATTGTCCTGGCACCTGTGTGTATGAGAACACTACTTTGTGTGGCAGGAGAATGAGGTTGTTACCTCTGGGGGAGGACAGGGAGCTGTGGGCCAAGGGAGGATCGCAGGGATGGACTTCAGTTACTGCGTTGGGTGGTAGATCGTTGGATATTATTAAAGACAACGAATGCCTGAATGATGGCCGCTAACGGAGCGTAATGGTAGTATGTCATGAACCCACATCGTGATGCTAGATTCTTTGGAAATCAGACTGTGGAAGAAAGGAAGCCTCTTTTCCCCTGACCTTCGTGATCTCCTCTGTGGTCACCCAACGCTGTCCTTGGGGTGCATGCAATCAAATTCTCTAATTTTTTTTTTAAGTTTATTTTTGAGAGAGAGAGAGCAAGCGAGCACGTGAGCATGAATGGGGGAGGGGCAGAGAGAGGGAGACAAAATCCCAAGCAGGCTCCACGCTGTCAGCGCAGAGCCTGATGCGGCTCGATCCCAAGAACTGTGAGACCATGACCTAAGCCAAAACCCACAGCGGGTCACTGAACTGACTGAGCCACCCAGGCGCCCCGAAGCTGTTTTCGTAGTGTCTTGTCCACCCAGATGGCTTGATGCAGAGTTTAGGTGAAGTCAGTGAAAGTGTAGTTGTATGAAAATGCGAGCCATCAGCTTATTAGAGGAGGTGGGGAGGAGAAGCAGGGGACACCTGGGACTGTGTGCGTGCGTGGCGCATCCTGCTGGTTTTCCGTGGCCGGCACGCTGCAGGCCTGGGCCACGGCAGTTGGGGGTCGAGAACAGAAAAGATCGCACGATTCTCTGTCTGAAGGGGCCCCTGAAACACTAGTCACGAGAGCAAGTTGGGAAACTTACCTTTGTGTACAAATTTAGGTCGGGGAAACCGCCAGAAGGTGACAAAGGGAAAAATACACTCTTCTTCAGTGGTTAGAAGATTAATCACATTTTTTCCCTCTCTTTTCCTCCTAACCTCTGTTCCCGTCATCAGCCTGAAAAATGGAATAAGATCAAGCTGGTGGTCACCCAAGAAGATGTCGAGTTGGCATACCAGGAGGCAATGATGAACATGGCCAGGCTCAACAGAACAGGTAAGGGGCGGTCTCGGCCAGTACTACAGGCCCGTCTGTGTGTCCCTGGTTTGGGGTCATAGGTCAGTAGTAGGAATCCAGATACTCTGCGCGTTCCTGACAGAAACGCATTTTAAACGTGACTTGTATTCGAGAAAATGGATGACCGAGGACTGGGCGAAACATTGCATCGGACGAGGGTGTGAGGGCGCGAAAGCTTTTCCTCCAGCACACTTTCCTCTGTGCGCCTGGGGTCCGGGGCGCCGTGGCCCTGCCAGCACCTCTGTCCCCCTCTTGCTTAGATCCCCCCACAGTGACAGCGGTGCCAGGCGCAGAGAAGAGTTGAAGTTCTGTTTTCTCTCTGTTCCTTCTAGTTTTAAATTTCTGTGATTATGGGCAGTATTGACTTCCTCTGCACCCCGATTAAATGGAAGTGAAATTTATATAGCATACTTTCGAAAGTATTTGGCTTAGTGGGGCGCCTGAGCGGCTCCGACTGTTGAGTGTCTGACTCGACTGTGGCTCAGGTCATGATCCCGGGGTCGTGGGGTCAAGCCCCGTGTCTGGCTCCACACCGAGCGTGGGGCCTGCTTAAGATTGTTTCTGTCTCTCCCGCTGCCCCTTTCCCCTGCTCACGCTTGCACTCTCGCTCTCTAAGAAAAAAAAAAGTATTATTATTTCGAGGTGTTCTCATTGTTGATTCCCACATTTGTGTGTATAAAGGAATAGACATGTCATAATTTTTTCCTCTACATTTTATTTCTCATCTAGCTTCCTAATACTGATAAAATGTAATAATAGCATTTACCATTTATTTAGTAATTATTGTGTATCAGGAACTTGACCTACTTTCCTGTTTAATTTTTAGGACAACCTTACAAGGTAGCTACCAACTCATTCAGGGTCACACAGCTAATCAGTGGGGACCTAGGATTTGAAACTACTGCTTGTAATGCTTGTAGTATTATGGTCTATTCCTTTCTGAACAATTTAGTAAGAAATTGAGGCTATTTCACAGTCTCTATGCATGGTAATTGAGTGAATGTTTTGGTACTAAGTTTTAAAAGCAGATTAAAATAAAATAGGAAAGGGGCACCTGGGTGGCTCAGTTGGTTAAGTGTTCGACTTTGGCTCAGGTCATGATCTCATGGTTTGTGAGTTCGAGCCCCGTGTCGGGCTCTGTGCTGACAGCTCAGAGCCTGGAGCCTGCTTTGGATTCTGTCTGTCTGTCTGTCTGTCTCTCTCTCTCTGCCCCTTCTGCTCATGCTCTGTCTCTTGTCTCTCTTTGTCTCTCAAAAATAAATAAATGGTAAAAAAAAAAAAAAAAAAGAAAGAAAAAAAATTAATAAAATAAACCAGGAAAGTTCCAGAAGCAGAATTCTCCTTCCTGAAAGCAGCAAGGCTTGCTGAGGGAATTACTTCTCATAGAGTTGAAGCATCATATTCTCCCCTTTTCCTGCCTTTCATATGCAGATAGAAAACACCAGGCATATTGCATAATTAAGAAGGAGGCTCTTCTCGTGAGTCTTTGAAGTCCTAACCTCTGATGTGCCAGAGGAACTGTTTCTAGAAAAGCATCTGTGCAGATGATTTGGAAGCAAACCAGCATTTAGAACGTCAGCCCCAAGAGGGCAGAGAGCTTTGTTTGTTTTGTTTGCCGTGGTGTCCCCAGCGCGGAGAAGAACGCGGGGCACACTGTGGGAACTCGTTACATCGAATGAGCTAACTTTGCCACTTTCTTTTTGGTACTTCACGGATATTTTCCTTTTCATAATTCTGTGAATTGGATCCTATTTCTCCCCTTTGGCCGAAAGGAAGTACGTAGGTACAGGCAGATGCTGTTCCCAAACCCAAATCTGTCTGTCTCCAAAAGTGCTCTTTCTCCAGTACCACAGATTCCATCAACGTAAGGCAGTGAAGGAAATTTATACGGTTTTTTTTCTGGAAATACCGGTGTTCTTTCTCCTCATGAATTGCACGCTGTAAGGACGTGGGTTGTGGGGCGTCCTGTCCGGGAACTTGGAAGATGAAATTGAAAAACCTTTTCTTTACAAAAGTCACTCTTCATTCGGTTCTTCAAGTTCCCTGAGCAAGCAGTCAGAAACAGATTTGAACGTACTTTCTTTGTCCTCTCCCCTCAATCCTTCAGTTTCCCCCAAATGACTGCACCAAACGGATATGATACTTAAGCCAACGAACTCTTCAGTTATTGAAAAAAGAAGAAATGGTAGGGCTGACCAGGGGATCTTAAAAGAGCTTTTCCGACACTCTGAATCACCTCACAGTGTGACAATATGGGGCGCCTGAGTGGCTCAACCAGTTAAGTGTCCAACTCTTGATTTCGGCCCAGGTCATGATCTCACGGTTCCTGAAATGGAGCCTGCCTTTGGGATTCTCTCTCTGCCCCTCCCCAGCTCATATGCGTGGGCGCACCCTCCCTTTCTCTCTGTCTTAAAAATTGATAAACTTGGGTGTCTGGGTGGCTCAGTTGGTTGAACATCCAACTTTGGCTCAGGTCATGATCTCACAGTTCGTGAGTCTGAGCCCTGCATTGGGCTCTGTGCTGACAGCTCACAGTCCGCTTTGGATCCTCTGTCCCCCTCCCTCTCTCTGCCCCTTCCCTGCTCATTCTCCCTCTCTCCCTCTCTCTCTCCCCCTCCCCCCCCTCAAAAATAACCATTTAAATAAATAAATAATCTAACTTACAAAACTGTGAAAACAGATTATTTTTTTCCAACATTTGCCATTCTCCCCTTCCTTAAATTACAATTTTTTATGAGATGTTGGGGCACCTGGGTGGCTCGGTGGATTGAGCGTCTGACTTTGGCTCAGTTCATGATCTCGCAGTTAGTGAGTTTGAGCCCCACATCAGGCTCTTAGCTGTCAGCACGGAGCCTGCGTCAGATCCTCTCTGTCCTTCTGATCTCTGCCCCTACTTCGTTCGTGCGCGTGTGTGCGCACGCTCTCTCACACACTCACACACACACAGGCTTTCTATCAAAAATAAACATTAAAAAAAATTTTATGAGATGTCCAGTTGATGCAAAAGAATTCTATGAAATATGTGCAGGGCTTAAGAGAACAACACCCATGTGCCCACCGTCTCGTACAAGAAACAGTGTGGTCTTGGAAGCCCAGAGGTGTCCCTCCCACACTCTGCTCCTAGATTCCTGTGTAGGAGCAGCTCCTGCTCTGAGTCCCATGTTTATTCTCATGTATTTTGCTTTTGTTATTATTATTATTATTAATCTTAGAGCAAGAGAGGGAGAGAGAATCTTAAGCAGGCTTCATGCTCAGTACAGACCCTGGGATCATGATCAAAATCAAGAGTCAGGTGCCCAACTGACTGAGCCACCCAGGCACCCCTTCATGTATTTTAAAATCTTTTTATCACAAAGACTTGTATCTTTAAGCAGTTAGTTGGGTTTTTTAATTTTTTGCTTCACTGAATCATACCTGTTCTCTTTTTCTTGCTGTCTTATGCACATTTAACACTCCTGAGTGTTATTCCTGGTGTATGTAGTTGTACTTAATTCATTTTCATTGCTGTACAATTGTCCATTCTGTCGCTGACTTACCCTGACTGCTGCTAGTGGGCATTCGGGTTCCTGCAGAGAACTTCCTCGGCCCGGGCTTCTGGTCCATACGTGTAAGAGGTCAGTGCTGCCTCGGCGTTTCTAGATGGTGCTCGTAGCTTCTGAGGGTGCTTGTACGCCACGGTTTATAATGACCTGCCACGTTTAAATTTTTTCTGTAATATATTTTTCCATTTATTTTATATGTATTTTTTACTATAAAAAAAAGATATGCTCATTATAGAAGTTTTTAGAAAATGAAAAAAGGAGAGAAGAAACATCGTCCCTGGTCCCACCACCCAAGACAGCTTCTGTTAATATATTTGTTTTCTTGCAGGGTTTTTTTCTATCATTGGTTGGTGGTTTACTGTTGTTTTATTGTTCATGTTTTCAACTAGTGGTTGTCATACATTTTACTTGTATTTGGAATGTGTTTTTATTTACTTAACATTACTGAATTCTTTTTTTCCCACATTATCTCATCATAGAACACATAATTTTTAATGCCTTGGATGATCTACCAGAAATATAACATAATTAATTTACCTTTTGCCCACTCGTGAATTTGCGGGGAGTGGGGGAGGGGGTGTCAAATTTTTCCATAGTTAGTTGTCTGTGTTCCAGGAATATTTCTTTGGCTCTATTCCAAAGTCAAATTGTAATTATTTAATTCTTTGTCCTCAGTTGCTCTCCTCACTTACGACCAAGACTTTTCGTTTGTGTTTCTCTGTTCATGTGTCAAACTGTTTAAGGAGTCTTTCTCCTTTTTTCTTTTTTCTTTTTTGGTCCTTCAAATTAAGTCATAAAACAGTAAGAAAGTGATTTTTACAGATTTTTATTTGTATGCTTTTTCAGTTTGCTTGTATTTGAGCATTTAAGATTCCCAGTCCTTACTTTTTGTACATTGTTGGGAGGAATACAATATGGCAGAAGCTTATGGAGGAGCATTTGGTCATATCTAGCAAAATTACATGTACATTTATTTTGACTCCGTGGTCTTGCCTCTGTGACCTATGGAATGACGTGTGTGCGAGGCTATTATTCGTTGAAGCCCGTTTGCAATTTCTAATGGAGGAAACAACCCAAATGTCCATCAGTAGGTTACTGAGTGATGTAGTCTGTGTGCGTACCATGGAATACTGTACAGCCACTAAAAGCACTGAAAGGTCTTTATTCTTGGAAGCTACCACTTTTTTTGACTTGTCTGATAGAGGAGCGCCTGGGTGGCTCTGTCAGTTGGGCGTCCAGCTTCGGCTCAGGTCATGATCTCACGGTTCGTGGGTTTGAGCTCCGCATCGGGTTCTGTGCTGACGGCTCGGAGCCTGGAGCCTCCTTCGGATTCTGTGTGTGTGTCTCTCTCTCTCTCTCTCTCTCTCTCTCTCTCTCTCTCTGCCCCTCCCCCACTCACGCTCTGTCTCTCTCTCAAAGATAAACATTAAAAACATTGAAAAAAATTTGCCTAATAAATATCAAGTTAAGGAGTCTCAAAACTGCGTGGGGAAGAATTATTTCAAATCAGTCTGAGCCTGGTATTTTCTTTCTTTTTTTTTTTTTTAAACTTTTTTTTCAACGTTTATTTATTTTTGGGACAGAGAGAGACAGAGCATGAATGGGGGAGGGGCAGAGAGAGAGGGAGACACAGAATCGGAAACAGGCTCCAGGCTCCGAGCCATCAGCCCAGAGCCTGACGCGGGGCTCGAACTCACGGACTGCGAGATCGTGACCTGGCTGAAGTCGGACGCTCAACCGACTGCGCCACCCAGGCGCCCCGAGCCTGGTATTTTCAATGTACAGCCTCAGGACAAAAACCCACAAAGATATGTCATTGTATTCAGTGGGTTTGTGTTGATGAAAATATTGGTATAGTATGATAAAATAAGTAAGTATAGTTGGGAACAAATTTTAAGAATAAAAAGAAATAAGACCAAAGAAGCAGAGTTATAAACCGTAATCTTGGGGCACCTAGTGGCTCAGTCAGTTAAGCGTTCAACTTGATTTGGCTCAGGTCATGATCTCACAGTTTGTGAGTTCGAGCCCCGTGTCGGGCTCTGTGCTGACAGCGCAGATCCTGCTTGGGATTCTCTCTCCCTCTTTCTCGGCCCCTCCCCCACTAGTTTGTGTTCTCTCTCTCTCTCTCTCTCTCTCTCTCAAAATAAATAAACATTAAAAATAAACTATAATCTTTACTTTGGAATTAACAGTATGAACTCAGGATGTTGTTTTTTTTCCCCTAAAAATACTTATTTCCAAGCCAATTGAAAAGGCCTAGGGGCAGTGATAACCCAATAGTAATGAACTCCTAGTGCCCAGATTGTGATCTGAAAATTAACATTTCCCATGAAAAAGTGCCAGGACTCCTTGGGGAAATGACTGATTTTAACTCTGGGAAAGGAAATGCAGAAGATAAGCTCGGGACCTCCTGTGCCTGAAAGTAATGGAGCCCCCAATAGCTAATGGGGTCCTGTCACTGCACCAGAACTGGTGGAAGAGCTGACCCCACCAGTCAGACTGGAAAGGGGGCAGTTTGAATATCAAAAGGAAGAGTGACTGGAGTCAGCTGAAGCATGTCAAGTGTCTGAAAACCAAGGAAATCATAATGAGAGTTGAAACTTCTTGTCCACCTTTGGAAGTTGCTAGAGCACCAACCATGCATTATGAAAATAAAGGATTCAGTCACACATTTTACCTTTCTTATACGGGTGGTATTTGGGGAAATCCAAATTAATTGTTTTTTAAATTCTTTAGAAGAGTCACATCTAATAAATGCTGGAAGAATGAATCACACATTTGCCATTTTTGCTGCGCCCTTGATTTAACGAACCTCAACAAACATCAGTGGCTGCTAAAAACCATTAGGTGAAAGGTTTGTGGGGAGGTGATAAATGCCCCCCACCCCCCCATCAGAGAAACTGAACTTGAATCTCATCATGCCTTGGACCTGGCTGCCAGTTTGGTAGAACCTGTCATCATCAGGGAAGACAGCCAAATCCAGAATGCAGGAACTTCCACAGAAAAAGTGACTCTCTCTCCACAACAAACAAATGGCATGGGGGAGAAAAAGAGGAAACTCTTAAAAATTAAGAGGTTTAGGAGAAATCTGTTAACGTGCAATATTGTGTTGGAATGATAATGGTATTGTAGTTAAATTGTTTAAAACATTTTATTTATGTTTTTAAAAAATTGTTAGGGGCGCCTGGGTGGCGCAGTCGGTTAAGCGTCCGACTTCAGCCAGGTCACGATCTCGCGGTCCATGAGTTCGAGCCCCGCGTCAGGCTCTGGGGCTGATGGCTCAGAGCCTGGAGCCTGTTTCCAATTCTGTGTCTCCCTCTCTCTCTGCCCCTCTCCCGTTCATGCTCTGTCTCTCTCTGTCCCAAAAATAAATAAACTTTGAAAAAAAAAAAATTTGTTAACATTTATTTTTTTGGGAGGGAGAGAGGGAGCATGAGTAGGCGAAGGGCAGAGCAAGGCCTGAGAGGATCCCAAGCAGGCTCCACGCTATCAGCGCAGAGCCCAGTGCAGGGCTTAATCCCACAAACTGAGATTGTGACTTGAGCAGAAATCGGGAGTCAGAAATGTGTAACCTACTGAGCCAGCCAGGGCACCCCCTTTTTTTTTAATCTTTTAGAATTGCATACTGAAATGTTTACAGGTGAGGTAATATGACTGGGGTTTGCTTTAAAGTTACCCACCCCACCCATATCCCCCAACGAGTAGGCAGGAATAGGTAAGACCCCAGCAGAAAGGTGGTAGTGGTTGAAGCTGGGTTTTGTTGGCTGCACAGGAAGGAGTTCATTGTGATTCATTAAAATTCCCATAGTAAAATTCGCAACAGTAATTCCCTGTGCAGGGACAAAATGGTGATCAGTAAAAATGGAACCCTGATTACTGACTGGGGTTCACTGTGTCCTCTAAGCTCATCCAAGATGGCACTGGGAAGAGCTGCTAAACTGCATGTCTTTGCTTATATTAAATGTCATTGGCTGCCTGCTGCCCTGCCCTGGCGTGTTAATAGAATGGATGTCTAGTTGCTTAATCACCGTGATGGACTAGAAATTCTCTCCACCTCTGTTGTTGCGAATGCGCTTAGGTAAAAGAGATCTTTGTCTAAAAAGAAAATGTACCAAAAAACACATTCACTCCAGAGTGCTCCTGTAAACATGGAGTGTATTTCATTTCATGAGAAGCATTTAACTTTTAAAAATTAGACTTTCAGTTACTCCCCCCCCCAAATAAACTACTTCAGTATGAATCTAACAAAGGACGTGCACGCTGTGTATGAGGAAAACTATAAAACTGATGACAGAAGTCAAAGAAGATACAAAGAAATGGAGAAGTGCTCCAGGTACAGAGATAGAAAGACTCAGTATCATCAAGGTGTCAGGCCTTCCCAACTTGACGTGTGAATGGAACTCAGTGCAATGCAGTCCCATTCATAATCCTAGCCAGTTAGTTTGTGGATATTGACAAACCGATTCTGAGTTTGGATGGAAGAGCAGAAGACCGCGGGGACAGCCGACACAGTGCTGAAGGGGAGCATTTGGAGGACTGACACCACCCAGCCTCAAGACGGTGTAATTACAGTGGTCACCGCAGTGTGATGCCGGTAATGGTGGATGAGGACATCAGTGGGACAGAAGGCAGAGGCCAGAAATGGGCCCACACATATATTGTTTGATCTTTGACAAAGGAGAAGGGACAATTCAGTGGAGAAAGGATCATCTTTTCAACAGAACGTACTGGAACGGCTGGACATTTACAGGCAGGAAGTGAACCTAGACACAGATCTTATAAAAATCAACTCAGTCAGTTGAACATCCAACTCTTGATTCCGGCTCAGGTCATGGTCTCACGGTTTGTGGGATCGAGCCCCGCATGAGGCTTTGTGTTAACAGCGTGGAGCCTGCTTGGGATTCTCTCTCCTCTGCTCCTCCTCTGCTCATGCTCCCTCTCTCTCTCAAAATAAATAAATATTTTTAAAATATAAAATGAGCTATCAAGCCATAAAAGGCATGGTGGAAACTCAAAAGCATATTTCTGAGTGAGAAGACCATCTGAAAAGACCAGATACTCTTACGATTCCAAATCTAGCATTCTGGAAAAAGCAAAACTATGGAGCCGGTAAAAAGAGCAGTGGTTGTCAGGAGCTGGGGGTAGGGGTGGGATGAACAGGTGGAGCACGGGATTTTTAGGGCAGTGAAACTACTCTGTGTGATACTGATGATGGATGCATGTCATACATGTGTGAACACATCCACTACAACATCAAGAGTGAGCCCCAAGGTGAATGAACTTCAGTTAATAATAATGTGTCAGTAACAGCTCATCACATGTATCAAATGTATCACCGATGCTAGATGTTAATAAGAGAAGGGGGGCAGGGAGTATATAGGAAACTCCTGTACTTTCTGCTCACTTTTCTCCAAACCTATAAGTACTTTGAAACTTTTTTTTTTAATTCAAAAATTAACCTTAGTTTAGGCAACGCACTTAGAGTGAGAATGCTTTGAATTTAGGTCCATCTTAAAAAGTCTTGTTGACTTGAGGATGGTGTAGGCTGGTTTACCTTTTGTTGAGCTAGCAATTCTTTTTTTGTTCACTGGAGAATTACTGCAGACTGAAGCTGCTGATAGTTCTAAATGGTTCAAGTAGAATAAGAAATCACCTCTCAGGGGCACCTGGGGGGCTCAGTCGGTTGAGTGTCCGACTTTGGCTCAGGTCATGATCTCCCAGTCTGTGAGGTCAAGCCCTATGTCAGGCTCTGTGCTGACTGCTCAGAGCCTGGAGCCTGCTACGGATTCTCCGTCTCCCTCCCTTTCAAAAATAAACAAGCATTTTTTAAAAAATGGGTGTTTTTGGCAAATTACTTTTTCATTATCCCAGTATGTCATTGCCCTGATGAATTAGGAATTTTGAGATCAAAGTTTGTTTAAAATTTTGAGATGAGGTGGGTTTTTTTCTCCTCAGTCTTCATTTATTTCACCAGGTAATAAATGGGTCCTCTGTCCTCTCTTAGCTGCAGGTCTCATGCACACGTTCAACGCCCACGCTGCCACTGACATCACGGGCTTTGGAATTTTGGGCCACGCGCAGAACCTGGCCAAGCAGCAGAGGAATGAGGTGTCCTTTGTGATTCACAACCTTCCCGTCCTGGCCAAGATGGCTGCCGTGAGCAAGGCCTGTGGAAACATGTTCGGCCTCATGCATGGGACCTGCCCGGAGACATCAGGTACAAGGATCCTGGGCCCAGATCTGAGGACTAAGCTAGTGAGGCTAATGGAAATTTCTCTGACAAGGAAGCAGCCAGGTACTTGAGCATGACCCCAAACTGTGTGAGGTCAGTGCTGGTAGATAACCTTGGCCTTCTTAGCATGAATGTTCTCAGGCCCCACGGTTGCCCTGCCATTCTGTGTGTGATAGAGAGCAGTGTTAAATTTCAGTGTTTCTGTTTGGTGACAGGATGGAAGGAAGGGAGAATATGGGGAAAAGGAGTCATTACTCAGCTTTCATTGGAAACTTAGCATTTGAATTAACTGTGATACCTATAGGTTACAGTGAACAGGTTATGTTTTTTCCTTGAAGAAAAAGTCTAAAATTGCAATTTCGGGAATGAGATAGTATATTGTGTCTCCACAGTGCCCCTTAACTTGACTCTTGTGTTTCATCCCCATATATTCTCTGTCTTTTTTCGGCTTTTGTTATTTCTATCTTCTTGCTAACTCATGAGTTACTCTGACAACAGGGTCAGATCATCTGGGGATTTAAAAATACCCATGTGTACGGGTCCCGGGGGTGTTCAGTTAAGCATCTGACTCAGTTTTGGCTCAGGTTGTGATCTTACAAAATTCGTGGGTTTGAGCCCCACATCAGCCTCTGCGCTGACAGTGTGGAGCCTGCTTGAGATTCTCTCTCTCTCTCTCTCTCTCTCTCTCTCTCTCTCTCTCTCTCTCTCCCCCTCCCTCCCTCCCTCCCTCCCTCCCCCTCTCCCCCTCTCTCCCCCCCTCCTTTCCCTCTGTTTGCTCCTCTCTCTCTTTCTCAAAATAAATAAACAAAAACTTAAAAAAAAAATACCAGTGGTTAGACCTGACCCCCAGGAAGCCTGATTAGCCCAGAGGATTCTGGGGTGCAGCCAGAGGCCAGGACCCCAAAGCCCTGCCCCAAGTCCGCTCTGTAAGAGGGCTTGCAATTCGCTGGTAGGCCTCCCACAGCCTCTGTAGAGGACCCTTCAATTTCCTGTCCTTAAAAAAACAGCAAAAAACTTAAATCCGCTTTCTAGAAAAAAATTCTAAGAGGACAACTGAGCTGTTGGTTCAATGTCTGCCCAGAATGGTGCCTGCCACCCGGTGGGCCACTGATGCCACCTGGTGGGCCTGGAGTAAGTGTTGGGTGAATTAATGAATATTACTGGCAAATTCCATTTGTTTCCTTCATTCAAAATTGAGAAGTTTTTACTTTTTTGCAAAAGTATAGATACATATTTTTTCCTGGTTGTGTTAGTTCCACTTACAAATGCATAAAATTTTCTGTCTGAGCTACTGACCTATATTTGATAAAGGTTTTTGTAACATATTTTGTTTTTTCTGTTTTGAAGAGGACAGAGCCAGATACTCTGAGGCCTACACCTCTTCATGATCTTAAGTTTTAAGTTAAAAAAAAAGTATATAAAAAAACCCTTTTTATAAACTGAGGAATTCACGTAGATAAGTCAAAAAGGAAAAGTTCTCTTTCGGTTTTAAGTATTTCTTTCAGTGAAGCAAGAAAAAAGTAGCTCCCACGTGTGTTATTGAGGCCTTAGACACCTTACTCCTGTTAAATGAGTCACACCTAGCTCATTTTCATTGTTTAAATAAAATTTGTTGTGTGCTTTTTAACATAGTAGCTTACCAAGAAGTCGCTAATTGCTCTGCAGTTTAATCTGTGGGATTCTCAATTGACTGGAAGGGGCAGCTCTTGTAGAGACAGAAAAGAGTTGTTGGCCGAACGGCCATCTGGGCGGAAGCGAGGTGGAAAGGCCGTAGCAGAGAAACTGCTCACCAGGAATCCCAGCTGACGATAATTTTCTTTTTTTCCCTTTGCCAGGAGGCCTCCTAATCTGTTTACCGAGAGAGCAAGCTGCTCGATTCTGTGCAGAGATAAAGTCTCCCAAATACGGGGAAGGTCACCAAGCATGGATTATTGGGATCGTAGAGAAGGGCAACCGCACAGCCAGAATCATAGACAAGCCCCGGATCATCGAAGTCGCACCACAGGTGGCCACTCAGAACGTGAACCCCACCCCGGGGGCCACCTCTTAATCTAGACCCAACTAGCTATTTGGTTTTGTTTTTAAATAGATCTATTTCCTTTTTCATCATTTCAATTAAAGACTATAAACAACAACAAAAATCTCATTGTGTCTACACATCTGGTGACCTTAGGTCAATTTGTGAGTGGATGCAATTAATAAAATAAAATCCATTGCCTTTTTTTCCTGTTACATTAACTGAAGATGCACCTAATCTTGAGGCAGCTTCTGAGTTGAGAATTATATTGTTATCCAATACTGTTGATTCATTTTGAATCTTTAGACACTTATCTCTTGCCGCATAGGCTCTTTTTAAAGGTGCTTTCACGTAGCACAGACATTACCAGTCGTGGGGTCACATAGCAGTTGGTGTCTTTTCATTTTGTGTGTATTTATCGTTCCCGGTCTGGTCTTTTTTTAAAGTGTCTTGAATGGGATTCTGGAAAGATGGAATTGGTAAGTGACACAACGGTAGCCCGGTAGTGAGAGGGTCGCGTGATTCCTTCCAGTCTTTCCTTTGTAAAGCCCGGTGTCCTCATTCGAGAACATCTCTTTGACCCAGGACATTTTCCCAATAGCGCATTCAGTTAAACGAGGCAAGTGCTGAACTCTGCATGGAAAGCACTTTGAAGACAAGAAAGAAATCTAATTTCTTTTTTTGTAGCCTTCCTAATATTTGCAGTAATACCATTAACTGTTTTCTTTTATTGACAGCAAAAGATACTTTTTGCGATGTAACTAGATGTTCTATAGTGCAACAAGGAATTGCCCCCCGAAAGGGGGTTCGTGTATAATACTCATTTACAATTCAATATATAAGTAACTACACAAATAATTTTTAAATATAATCCATAATAAAGACTGTTCTGTGGATGGTAGTGTTTAATACATTTTATATTTTGTATAGTGATCCAGGCCTCTTGTTTTCTTAAAATCAGTTATTTAGCCTAATTCTCAGCATTATTTTGTCCTTGGTGCCAGTCCACTTTTGTGCACGCTTTTTGTGATCTGTGTTAAAAATCTGCATTGCCAACATCGCAGCTCGAACTTAAACTTGTTATTCAAATAAATATTTAATTTTTTTTTTTAATGCTCTTGTATAATCAGATGCCCCCTTTAGTATTATTTTAGAAGCGTTGGGAGGGTTTTGGCTAAAAGTACAATTTATCGGGGAAAACTAGATTTTAGTTTTATAAAACTTTTAAGTCTTTCACGGGACCTATATTTTCTTGAATTAAATTTTGTAGTTCTAGAACAAATAGGCGATCCAAAAAGGTGTTTCTCTGTGTTACTTAAAAACAGAGGCTTCCTTCTGTCTTAACCCACCAAACAGTAAGGAGGGGATCGCTGTCATTAAGCACACGAGTGCTCCGGTGGCTCAAGTGTCTGCCTAAGAGAATAAAGCACCCCCGTCCCTGCGAGTTTCTGAATGCCTCCTGCTTGCAGGCACCAAAGCCGTGAGAACAGACCCTCCTCTTGCCAAAGGAAACCAGCCCTCGGGAGAGGACGCCCCCGGAAGAGGCCTCACCGCGGATGCGCCCTCCACCAGGAGCCAGAGGGCGGCCGCTGCGCGGGCATGACTGGAACTCAAGCCATACGTGTGGGTGTGCGGGACCCCAGGGGCCGCTCCGGAACTGACATTGATGGGACGTTTTGTAGGCATTTATACAGATGTTGGTCCCCAAAAGCTACAAACCAGTGGTCTGCAAAATAAAATGTGTTGGAAACCTCTGAGTAAGGTGAACATGCTGTTGAGCTTTTTTTTTTTTTTTTTTTTTTTTTTGACAACACCAGTGATGACTAAATCTGAATTCTTTTTAATGTTGATCACGCCTTGAATGCTGATGATTTCCTTGGTGGCGGGCCTACTGAGAGGAAGCGAGCTAAGCGGATTATGCACCTGAGGAGATCTTCGTGAAGATTCACGTTTAGAAAAAATGCTGGGGACAAGGAGGTCCGTGTAATTCACGTGATCTCAAGGAGGAAGGACTGGTAAAAGGTGGGGTTTCCCAGAGAACATTCCAGATGACCTGCTTTAAGATCACTTGGGGATGCTTGTCACACGCCCTGCCCCTGACCGGCACAGTCCGGATTCTGGTGGACTAGGGAATCTGTAACAGGCACCCCAAGTGGCTGAGTGCGGGGAGGTTAGATGTAAAGGGGTGTCGCAGAGGGCCAGGAGAGGAGAAGGAAGGAAGGAACTGCTTTCACAATACGCTTTTAAAGGAATTTTTCTCCCAAATTATGCCCACTCTGATTATTGCCCTCTGGGGCCAGCAAAACCCAAACCAACCCAAGTGTTTTGAAATTTCCTTGAAGGATCAAGTGATTGAATATTTGGCTTAGCAAAATCTGTGTAAATACCTTCAAATTTGGTGAATAGTTAACACGCAGACAATAATTTGGCTTCCGGGTAGCACTTTAACACTTCACACTGATCTTGGTGCAGTGATTTATTTTCTTTAAATCCTACGGTGCAGTTGCATCCAAAAATACAGCTTGTGAAAATACACAGAATTTTTTCATACAGCCTGGAGAGGCTGGGCCCTGGTGAGGTCAGTTACTCCTCGAGGCGACAGGCGTCACTTGCCAAGGACAATCAAAGCCTCGCTTGTTGTTTGCACAGGCTGTGTTGAAACATTTACTGTAATTATGTCCAGGAGGAGAAACTGAAATATTGTGTAAGCAATATGTACTTTTTGGCTGAATGTTTTTTAAATCACTTAGTATATTGTAGTCTCCAAGTTCTGCATGCCTTATGATGAATAAACGCGAGTGTTTTAAGTTGTTCTGATTTTAGATGTATGAGACTGCAGTTTCCGTCTGAATTTAGTGTTGCCTTTAAAAGAGTTCTATGGGAATTCTAAGTTTTACAGTCTTGCTCTGTAAAGAGAGCCCAGAATAGCTATATGATACTTTTTTTTATTTTCAGAAGTAATAAAGCAAGCATAGATAATGATGCTTCAGATACTTAAATGTCTTGTGTGTGCGCGTGTGTGTGTGTGTGTGTGTGTGTGTGTGTAGACAGAGAGAGATTGATCTACCGCCTTGAGTTTTTCATTTCCCACACTCAGCACCCTTTTTCTCTAGATGAAGTCGTGGTTACATAGACCATATAACTTAGTTTCAACAGTAATTTGTAGCTTTTCTCATTAAATGCCTGCATATGAGTGATGCGATTTGAAAAAATTTTTTAGTGTTTGTTTTTGAGAGAGAGAGAGTGAGCAGGGAAGGGGCAGAGAGAGACGGAGACAGAATCCGAAGCAGGCTCCAGGCTCCGAGCTGTCAGCACACAGCCTGACGTGGGGCTTGAACTCCCAAGCCGTGGGGATCATGATTTGGGCCAATATCAGACGCTCAACTGAGAGAGCCACCCACGTGCCCCATAAGCAATGCAATTTTTAAACATCCCGGGGTCCACACGGAAAACCAACAGATTGAAAAAAAACTCAAAAATGGAGCATGGGAATATCACTTTGCCTCTGGTTGGTTCAGTCTCCTTGTCTTAAACCTAAACAAGGTTCAACGAAGTGAACCGTGGTTTCGCTTGGCCTTCATCGAGTGAAACCATCGGTAGGACAGGGTGCTCGTGGGTGTCTAGATGTGCTCAAGAGTTGCTAGAATCCTAGGTGGCCAGTGGCCTTCAGCAGGTCAGTAAACATTGGGTGCGTAGATCTTGGACCTTTTCTCTGCAGGGTTTCCTGGATTTCCTCTATTTAAGTTCTTAAATATTTGATCTCCAACTCTGGATTCACAGTTGATGTTTTCGGTGGTTTCGGATGGTCCTGCCCAGCCCTGTTTGTTGCCTGTGGAGGGGGCTTCATGCGTGGGAGGACTGCATCTAATCGAGCCCATCGCAACTTTGTGGAAGGAACTAGAAAATTCACTCCACCAGTGATCTGGTTGCTGAAGAGTTTCAGGAATGCAAGCACATGCACATAGAAGTTGATGGAGAGCTAGGAAACCGTAAGTGAATTATCAAGTCTTATATTTGGCCTAGTTCTTAAAGGAGAATTGTATAAAACTGATGTCTAGAACATGGCCCTGCTTTGGTCCATTTTGACAAGTGAGACAATTCTAGTAGTCGAACCCCACTGTGCTGCTCACGCTACACTCACCCCATCTGTCACCAGACAACACTTACAACACCACTGACTGTATTCCACGTGCTGTACATTTCACCCCTGTGTCCAACCCTTTCCGTAACTGGAAGCTTGTACCTCCCCCCCCCCTCTGCCCGCCCCCCCCCCCCCCCCCCGGGCAACTGTCACTTCTCCGTATTTATGGGTCTGCTGCTGTTCTTTGTTTTAGATTCCACATAGAAATGAAATCATATGGTATGTCTTTCTCTGACTTCACTTAGCATAATACCCTCCAGGTCCATCCATGTGCCCTCCTGTTTTTATTTTTTAAACAAAAGGCTAGAGGGGCACCTGGGTGGCTCAGTCAGTTGAGCATCCGACTTTGGCTCAGGTCATGATCTCTCGGTTCATGGGTTAGAGCTGTCAGCTCAGAGCCTGGAGTCTGCTTCAGATTCTGTGTCTCTCTCTCCCTCAGTCGTGAGTTCGAGCCCTGCATCGAGCTCCACACTGGTAGTGCAGAGCCTGCTTGGGATTCTCTGTCTCCCTCTCTCTTTGCCCCTCCTCTGCTTGTGCCGTCCCCCCCAAATAAATAAACATTAAGGGGCACCTGGGTGGCTTAGTCAGTTAAGCGTCCATCTTCAGATCAGGTCATGATCTCATGTTTCGTGGGTTCAATCCCTGCATCAGGCTCTGTGCTGACAGCTCAGAGCCTGGAGCCTGCTTCAGATTCTGTGTCTCCCTCTCTTTCTGCCCCTTCCCCATTCACACTCTTTCTCTCTCTCTCAAAAATAAATAAACATTAAAAAATAATAATAATACAAAGGACTCAGACATACATCTATAAAGGACTTCTCAAAGAATAGAATAAGACCACTAACCTTAGAATAAAATTAAGTAGAATAAAACCGTTCAGATTAGAACAAAATTAAGTAGCCACCATCCACCTTTGCCAGTCAAATCCGTCTGGTAAATCCACTTACATGAAGTCATGGGGTGCTTAAAATCCAGGTGACATTTATTTCTGTTCCCTAACTTTTTATTTTGGAAACTTGTAAACAGAAAAGTTAAAGAACTAGTATAATGGATACTTCTAGAAATATTAAGTTGTTGATATTAAGTTGCTTTCTCTCCATGTATGACCTATGCACACATCCATACGTGTGTGTGTCACATATACACGAATATGCATTTGTTGTTTTGGTGGAACTGCTCAGAAATAAATAGCAGCCATTGTGACACTATCAGGTGGCAGGTGGGGACATCCACAGATGATCACAAGATTTCAAGTGATCAGAGTGCTTTGCGTGTAGCGATGCATTCTCATGGCAGGTTTTTTGTGTTTTTTTTTAATGTTTATTTATTTATTTTGAAAGAGAGGGAGAGCGTGAGCAGGGGAGGGGCAGAGAGAGAGGAAGAGAGAGAGAGAATCCCAAGCAAGCTCCACCATGTCAGTGCAGAGCCCGATGCAGGGCTCGATCTCCTGAACCGTGAGACCATGACCCGAGCCAAACTCAAGAGTTCAATGCCTAACCGACTGAGCCACCCATGGCAGTTTTTATAGTGTGAAAGAACTTCCAGAGTATACAAATAACAGAGGTGAGCAAAACTAAAGAGAAATGCCAACTGAGAGGTGGAGCTTTTAAAAAATAAGTATATTTATTTATATTTGTTTTTAATAATAAATTGCATTTATTATTAAAAACAAATATACACAGGGGCGCCTGGGTGGCGCAGTCGGTTAAGCGTCCGACTTCAGCCAGGTCACGATCTCGCGGTCCGTGAGTTCGAGCCCCGCATGGGGCTCTGGGCTGATGGCTCGGAGCCTGGAGCCTGTTTCCGATTCTGTGTCTCCCTGTCTCTCTGCCCCTCCCCTGTTCATGCGCTGCCTCTCTCTGTCCCAAAAATAAATTAAAAAAAAACAAAAACAAAAACAAATATACACAGTACTTTTCAAATCTATTAACAAGAACTGCTGGGGTGCCTGGGTGGCTCAGTCTGGGAAGCGTCCGACTCTTGGTTTTGGCTCAGCTCATGATCCCACGGTTCGTAGAGTTAGAGCCCCGCATCGGGCTTTGTGCTGACAGTGCAGAGTCGGCTTGGGATTCTCTCTCTCTTCCCTTTCCCCGCTCTCTCTTGGTCTCAAAATAAATAAGTAAAAACTTAAAAAAAAAAAAAAATTGCTACGTGGGTCTGCCAAGTGGGGCCAGCAGGGAGGAAGATGTACAGCACCGGTTGCCAAGCCCTGTATCCCGGGCCTCCAGGACGACTGTGGCATAATTTGCTTTCCAGTAGTACAAGGAAAGCTAGCAGATTTCAGGCAGTAATTTTAGAGAAACATCCAATCCCCACGTATCTGAATCGTAAAACAGCAGGGAAATTCTGGACATGACCCAACCCTCAGGGATCCTTCCTTCCCTGGGGTTATGGTAGTTCCCTTTGGCCCACAAGCTTCCAGAGTCACTGTTTTACCCTTCAACTTGACTCCTGGTTCTCAGAGTGGAACTGGCACCAGTCTCTCCAATTGTCTGGGGCCACCGTCATGGTCACTTGCCTCTCACTGGTGCCTCAAGGGGGCAGGTTTTGGGTGGAAGCCACAGAGCAGATGTGGGGACCCCTGAATGGCTGTGCAAACGAGAGTTGCTGACTCACATTAATGGTGACA